TCCTCCTCACATTTTAATTCAACTTGTTTTACAGCATGATGACATCATAACCATCCTCAAACAGGCCAGTTCATTAAACCCTTGGTTCCCGTATATACTGGAGTGTGGTACAGTCTGACCAGACCAAGGACAAATTAATGTCAGGGAAGTTGACTGAGCCAGAGCAGGTGCTCATGGTGAATGTAAATTGTGATAATGCATTTTATTATGAAATATTCATGAATCAGTGTGCAATGCAGGCCATGTTGTACCCCAATGTCTAATTGCCAATTACACCTGCAGCTCACAGATCACAATGGCGAAAGCGATAACGATTTCAACAATATAACAGAAATTGCTGAAATTCACGTGTAAGGTAATTTCATTTCTTCTAAAACCATAAAAAAATAATAAATATCTTAATGAACGTGTTTTGATGGAGAGTTGAAGAAAATAAGTGGAAGAAGGTGATCTCGGGAAGAATTTAATAGAGAACACCACATCCGTCCATAAAAAAGGGAAATTAAGAGATGTGTCAACAAGACTGACATCTTAAGAGCCCGCTTTATGGCGGGGAAACAAGAAACACACACATCCTTTGCTGTCAGTACATGCCTCTTTTATGTGTGTGTCGAGGTCTCCTCTAAACCCTACACTCTCTTTTATACTCATCTGCTAGAGGATAATTACCTTTCACATTTTTCCATTGTTTCAGTTATTTCACCACAATGGCGTATTTAATTAAAGTCCTGTGAAAATTCATCAGGTAAGCCTTGTGACAATTCACATAATCCAATGTTTCTTTAGCTACAGAATATTTATTTTTAATGAGTAGATTTTCCTTAACCTATTCACAGAAATTTGAGAATATAATAAAACTTGCCAAATTCAAGAACGATTGTTATTATTCTTTCATTATCTTCATACTGTGATATTACATTTTGATTTCTGCATCTGTTGCTCGTTGTGAAATTTCCCTCTGGAGTTTTTTCTTTATTCATATTTGTGAAATGGGGTTTACACATACATTTGACTTGATGTAATTCTCCACTGACTGGGATCTCAGATGCAAACGTCTCGCAGTGATAATCCAAAGCACTTTTTGTGCCGAGCCTCTCACAAACCCAGAGAAAGTAACAATTGGTATATCTGACTCTCGATGTTACGATTCTGATCACATAAATGCTGTCTGTGGTGCGACCTCAGTTTCTGAAACCAAAGGTTCTTTAGTCAATTACAAAAGCAATCAATAATCCCAAATTAATCTTTGACGGTAACTTGTTTTGATGTAGGTGCTATTGATGAGATTTTTGGAACTTCTTTCTGCACTGTTAGTTTTATAGATTGCATTTGCCTTGCAGGGAAAATGTTGTTCCAGTTTCTTGATCTAAAATTTGACCTGTGTTTCCTGCCGATAAACATGAATCTCATTTCAAGTAGAGTGATGTCTAACTAGCCCAACACGGACAAAAAAATGAAGACATGCAACCACGTATGAATATCAAGCAATTGTGCCGGCTAAGTAGCAGAAACTTGGTTGTCTTACCTGTTGTATGTTTGAGGCAAACATGTCTAATTCTTCACTGTAAATTTAATTTATTTGCTATGAATTTTTGGGTGAATTAGGACTTTTTTCCAAATCAAATACATGGCTGAATCCAGGGCTCAGTCAGAGGTCATTCAGCCTCAGGATGGTCTTCTCAGACAACACATTATGAACAGATGTCACTGATTGTTATGACACATGGCTTTTAGATAGCCTGGGAGTAGGGTGGCTAACTTTAGGGCCAAAACAATACTGTAAATCAGTCTTATTATTTTTTTCTGTTTAACATGCATTAGATTAATCTAAGACCAAAATTAAGACCGGCCCAACACTTCAGACAAGTCTAAAATAGATTTGTGTTTGTAAACTGCAGTGAGATTTACCCCGCTGCCTTACTGGTCCTGTGGTTGTGGTTGATTTCTGCTGTTTGTCTGGGCCCTCAGTTACTGGGACTAACTGAAGGAATACGTTCTTTGAATTTAGAGGAGTTTTCCTCCATCCAGCGCTGAATATTTCCATCTTGACTTCCTGGATGTCAGCAGCTATGTCTTTGATGTCTCTTACCTGCCTGCTTTCAGGTCTGTTGCCTCTGCAGACAACCCTCAGCCCTCCCGAGAGGCTTAATTTGATGATGGTAGGATTGATGTCAAGACTGAGGTGCTCTCAAACCAGTGTCAGCCCTCAGGTGAAACGACCACTGTGGTTCACTTTTCACACTAGGAGGCATTTATACGCCTTTTACTTATAGTTGCAACTGTACAGCCATTAACTGCAATACACAGGAGACACAAACTCTCCTGTTTTATAAAATATTGACAGGTTTGGGTGTGAGGAGTTTGACTGGACTGCTCAAAGAAGCTTTCCTGGCTTCTCCAGAGAATAAAAAACATCTTGGTTTAGCTGTTATGTACTTTTTTTACAATTTATAATTTATATGGAGGTTATCCCCAGATGAATGTATCCAATATCTTTCATAAATGCAATGTTTCTCTGATATTTGATAATATGTTTGTATTTGAAATGTGCTGCAAACATAAGCTTTACTTCAAGCTCCATTGGGACATTTTCAGAAATCATTTCCATCAATATGTCTTTTTAGGAGCAGCAAATATTACTGCGTTTGTTATGAAAGCACCGGATATCTGTGCTACTATTCTCCATGTTTTTCCACAGATTTAAAGACTATGTGAAAATGATTAAAGTCTCAGAGTCTGAGCCATCACATATCCACCATGTTGTGTCGGATCGGAGGGAGAACAAAGGCTGTTTTTCTGGTTTTAAGTTTTCTTGTGTGAATACGGAGCCAGCAGGAGGCTCAGCTGCAGCAGAAAGAGACGATCCCTTCACATTCCGACGGGAATAGACCTGTCAGTCCTGTAAACGCTTGAAAAACCAACCAGTGGAACCGCATGCAGCCCTCTCAGCACACACCGCACTTATCTGGTGTGAACCAGGGTGGAAAGATACTAACGCAGGGCATCATCATGCAAGTTGCAGGCATTCTCAATGGGTAATGTTTTTGTTTTCTGAGGGTTTGCTCGAACTAACCTACATGACATTTCAGCGATTTATGCAGCTGCTTTTGAACAAAAATCGAGGGTGTGTGCTGCTTTGTTTTTGGTTTGAATAAATAAATAAATAATGTGCTGCCTGTAACCCCTTCAGTGGGCTTGATTGTTTCCAGGAACTGGAATCTTCACAAGATTCCAAGAAAATGTGTTAATGTTTGCTCAACCTGCATTGATAAGTGAGTGAAAAGACACGTTTATGCTGCGGTCAATAGCTAAGGCTATTTTGTCACTCACTTTATCTTCGAAGTTTCAGGAAACACTCATATTGAGAAGAGATAGCACTCGATAAAGCTACAGCCAGCATATGATTAGCTTAGCTTAGCATAAATACTGGAAACAGGGGGAAACAGCTAGCCTGGCTCTGTCCGAATGTAACAAAATCTACCTACCGCTAAAGCTCATTAATTAACACGTTATATTTAATTTGTTAAATCTCTACCAGAACTGAAGCATAAAAGGGACACGATGGGGTTCATAGAGGGTTATACACTGGACCAGGGGTCTTCAACGTTTTTCAGGCCTAGGAGATGGAGCAGGGACCCCCGACTATATATATATTGTATAAAATTGTGTTTTATATTAAACTGGGCGGAGTGCCATGTATAAACATACCTCTTTATTGTGCATTCAATGCTAAGCTATTCAAATAATACACAGGTTCATATATTCATGTTTTTATTTTAAACATGTGCAAGGTACAGGGTGGCCGTGCCACTGCCATTTATAAACATACCTTGTCAGCTGATACCAATGCCAATATCAACATTGTCTGTCAATTGCATGATAATCATGCATACAAGCTATTCAAATTGATGTTTTCATTTTAAACATAAATGTGGAAACAATTAGTGCCACTGCCATGCATAAACATACTTGTTATCTTGCATACAGTACTGAACCAGTAAAATAATGGAAAGATTCAAGTTTGGAAAAAAAAAATAATTAAAGAAAATAATAATTAAAAAATTGTCTAATCAACCAAAAATGTCGCGGATCCCCTGCAGTACCTCCGCTGACCCCCAGGGGGTCGCGGACCCCCTGTTGAAGACCTCTGCACTGGACTATTTCTTTACCAGGAGCAGTGAGTTCCTGGAGTCTTGGCGTTACGTTGAGAGTACCGGGGATCCAGCGGAGACTCGGGGAGTATGTTACCTTTGGACAGAGCCAGGCCAGCTGTCTCCCTCTGCTCTCAAGCTACACTAAGCGGCTGCTCGCTGTTTGGCTTCATACTTATCAATCAGATAGCATAGTGATATCAATCTTCTCAACTAATTCCAACAAATAAGTTCCCATCTTCCAAAATGTTGAACTACTCCTTTAACCTTATTGATTTGGTTGCCTTTGGTCTTTGATGGTGATTCCCTTAATTAACCCTCAAAACCATAGCTCGGATTTTAAATGTTACAGAATTTGATTATGAACTATTTGTTGACTGCCTGAAATGTGCTCGGTAAGTTGCCTGCGGGCATAATTTAATTTTTCAGTATTAGTCCCTCACCTTCCATTTAGCCTCCAGCCTGCTACGGCAAAGAGCTCAACAGCCTCACTTGTTGCGATGCCTCTTACTTTTTTTGATGAAGCTATTAAACATGCACGCTTTTATATTTGCCTAAATGTATTTTTGTAACCCTGACTTGTTTTAACACCCATCACAGGGTGCAGAAAATGAAGACAATCCCGTTATAATTTGGAAACGGCAATAGACTCCGCTTTGACAGAAGCAGCAGTATGGTGGAGGCATGTGCGTGCGTGCGTGTGCGTAAGCGTGTGTGTGCGCGCGCGCTGCTTCGTGAGAGCCCAATGAGACTGGAGCAGACAGCTGTAGAGAGAGAGAGAGAGAGAGAGAGAGAGAGAGAGAGAGAGAGGATCACTGCCTCATACAGCGTGTCTGTATCAGATGAGAGGGGGGTCACCCAGGAATCCCTCAAAGCTGCTCTCCAGGAAAAAAGAAATGTTATACGATTTTGTTTGTACCTCGTGTACCGGATAGTATCAGCTCGTGAGGTCGTTCTCTTGTGGTCGATTCGTTGTTTTTTTAAGAAGATGCCGTCACGGGGGAGAAAAGTGAAGCAGATTATGTCGGAAATAGACAGTTTGAAAGAACAAGACGAGTGGTAGGAATCAGCGACACCAACAGCGAAGAGCTCAATTAAGTGCCGATATTTTTTCAATTGATTTGTCTTCTTTCTTCCTTTTTCTTCTTTTTTTGTTTATCTGTTATCTGACCAATATGTTCATGGACAACAGGCTGTGAAGTAAAAGTTTTCATTTTTTGTTACATGGAGCAAATGGTGTTCCCTAATTGCTCCATATAATCTGCTACAGGCTATACATTGAAACCAAAGGAGATTTACAAGCTGCATTCCTGGTTAAACACGCAGCTCATTGAAAGGCGTTTTTACTCATTTTAGTCTTATCGAACAAAAAAAAAATCCGAAAACACGACGAGGGTTGAACTTTGCGCAGGGGCGAGTTCCCGTTTCATTTGCTTGAGATTTTGCTCATCAAAGACAGTAGCAACGGGTCTGTCTCAAAACTCCGGAGAGCTAGGATATATGAAGATCGCCACATAGTTGGTTGTCTCTCGCAGAAATGCCAGTGCGTGCTGTGACCACCAGGTTCATGTACAAGGGACTTTGCACTATTGAAGATGTCCTCACCTACCGGACCCCTGTTATCCTGCCTGAGGATGAGGTGGAAGGTGAGTCAGCCGGTTGGATTATGGTCGCATGTGCTTGTTGTAACGTTAAATAGTTGTTTATCTAGATGCAACATGCACCTGACGAGCCAGTTCAGGACCACGGAGAGCTCCATGTGGTGTGCGCTCCTTTTCCTGATCCACAAATCTGACTGTACACTAAACCGAAGGTCTGCTTGTAAAAAAAAAGACCAGCAGTGCCGATTTTCTTCACTATGTTTCGGGTTTAAATGTTTCACAAAATCTAGGATACATATACAAACTGTATATTTACATTTCTCTTTGACTGGCTTTCTTTTTGCATATTCTTGCTTCAGATTTGTGTGACAAAATTAACTGTCAGTCATTTTTGTCATTTGTACATCATTTTAAAATGTCACATCATCCTCTGATAATAATAGTAATAAGCTAATAATCCTCCTGATTCTCAGCACATGCCAAGTTCTCCACGCATGGCACATTGTCATAAACTTGTGAGTAAATGACATTGTTGAATACAAAATCTCCTGGCTGTATCCATGGCACCTGTTAGACTTAACTGCACTGGATTTCACTTACTGTAAGTCGTTTGTGCTTGAGCCAAGAAACGAGACTTCAGAGTCAGGGGGACAATGCTTGAAATTTGCACAACAAAAGACGAGCCTGAAATAGAAAAAAAAGGGATGAATGGAAAATGTATAACTATAAAAATGCAGATTAGAATATAATTTCTAGAAAATCCATCCCATATTAAACTCAGTAATAAGATAGGAGATTGATTAATTTTTGAGTCTTAAATTAAATCATCTCATCTCTTTCCGGTTTGTGTGATGTATTTCGTCTTTGATTAATACAAATTTAAAAAACGACCATCCATAGCTCAGTGTTCCACTTAGGCCATCTAAAAGATTAATTAGAGCCTTATGATCGTTCTTTCAATAGAAACCTTAGTGCTTAGCCGTTAAGAGCGAGGTTTTGTTTTGGCAAATGGTCCTCACAGTGAAAAAGCACATCTGGCAGTGATTTGGAGCAAAGCCTGGCAGACTACAATAACGAGATAACTCAGATCAGATTTGATATCACCAAGTCTTTTATTCAGAGGGAATTCCATTTCCCTTTCTTTTGTCTGCAGGTTGCCCGCGCCCACAAGTGGCTGCCTGCCTTTCCTTTCAGCCACTAATTTGACATTGAAAATCCACTATCTGCAATGACGACATACATTTAATTAAAAGGTTGGTTGGCTATGGAAAAAGCAAGAAGTTAGAGCAACAGTAAAATCGAGTGTTTTGTGTTGCGTGAGACGCTGACGACACAGCCTATCAAGTAATGGAGAAATCTTTTCAAACTGTAGTTGACTGATTGATAGCTATTAAATATTCAGAACAGAGACAGACAATTCAACCGTGACTGTATTTACCCAGGGAAGATTCACTGAGCACATAATGCGCTGCTTCATTTACATGGCCTCACACCTCGGCTGTGCCCAGGGTAAACAGGACTCTACCTTTTGTCACCAAGCAGCTCCACCAGTGCGTTAAAGAGCACTCTGCTTGTAGCTGTTGAGGGAGGTAAGAGAGTTCCACATGAACGTCCTCCATTTTCAGATCCTCAGACAGGCTGAATCAGCAAACCTCCCACTTACTGACCAGCTACCCTTGACACTACAACTGCTCCACCTTCACACACAGCGTGGGCGCTGCTGCTGTTGTTGTTCTGTGAACAGCACTGTGGACGGTCCAGTGTCTCCGAGTGAAAACGGCAAAACAGCCAGTACATGTTGTTTCATCCCCAAAAATCTTTAAATACTGCAGGGCAGAAGTTCCCTAATTGCTCAACCCATGTAATTACTCTCCCTAATGATATTTATGATTATGTTAATATATTTTTCCTATTAAGGTGTGTGTATACCCAGTGTAATTTGGGATCATCTGAGAAACAGATTACTGGAACACATCACTGTGACTGAACTACATATATCAAGCTTTGGGAGGTGACTACACAACTGACACTGAAATAAGCACAGTAATGGTGTGTCTTCATTTTCACTTTATAGAATCCAGACCAAGCAGATGACTTCTCTGACATCAAATCCAGACGACTAACCTCTGACACCAATGTCAGAGTTTATTTGGCCTTATTATCATCTGGTCACTAAACCCTTGTGCTATTTAAAGTTTTCTTTGAAATACATTTCGGTTTACCCTGCTGTTTTTTTTAAACCTTTTTTAACTGCACAATGTCTACAGTTTTAGGTTTAGCAAGAGACCATGAAACTCATACAAAAGTGAGAGCAGACAAACCTCTGTGACTCAAATCAACAGGAATCTCTCTCGGTGACATTGTTGCAGACACATGCTGACCATTTTAGTGCCCACTGACAAACACAACACACAAGGTCAAAAGGACCTTACATCATGTTTAAACAGACAATGCATGTCACACCGTAGCAGCAGAAGCCTTAGTGCCCTTAGTGGTAAAAGTGAACAGGAAACATGTGACAGTTTACAATTATAGTGATTTAAACCCGTCTAGTGAAGGTAAGAGATTCCCACAAACAAAAACGCATCACATATTTGATCTGCCACCAACCTTTTGTGCTCAGAAAAAAACAATCTTATACATATAGAATACAACTTCTTCAGGTTATTGACAACATCATCAGATACTTTGATGTTTAAGCAACCAGCAACTACCTCGGTTCAATGCTGAAGCCAATGCAGAACGTGCCCTGAGCTGCAGAATCTCAGACGGCGACTCAAAGCAGTTTCAGTAACACTCCGACTGAATTCAAATAACTCTAATGTCTCAATAGATAGCTTCATTTCCTATGATGCGTGTCTTGGTAGCATTTTAATAAATATATGATTTAAAAGTTAAAGAACAATATGAAGGAAACAGAAAGCCACTGTTCATCATTCAGAAATAGATTAATGACACTGAATTATTTACTGGCACATTTAATGAGGATTTTTCTCGCTGTACAACAAATACGTTTGCAAGTAGCATCATTCAAATGTAATTACGAACAAATAACTTTACAGATTTAATTTTAAATGCATCGATGAATAAAACGTGGATAATTATTCAGTGGCACACTCGAGACTCCAGAGAGATTATCTAAAAATCTTTATAATCCTGCCGTCTCAAGACATTTGTGATCTTTAATCTGACATTTTATGTGTATCACAATCATATCTGCAATATTAACTGTATTCACCTATAGCTGTATTGGACATTGGCTACAATATTTAGAGAAATCTTTATAATTCATAGCAAATAGTGAGGATTACAGACACTTCCACTGGATGGAGTCACTATTGTGTGTACCGGGTGAGTTTAAGGGAGGCTGATTAAGTACTCACAGCTCTTAATGGAACTGCGGTTTCCAGGGAATGTTTTTCGAACAGATGGTTGCCAGGTGGGCATGCAGGTCAGTGTCAAAGCTTCCGGCCCGCCCCTTCGCACTTGTGTCATGCAGTTGTCATAAACCCTGATATGTATTCAAACCATTACTGAGCAAGCAACTGTACCACAGTTTTGTCTAAACTGTACAAAGGCCTAAGATTATGGATTTGAGCTTTTAAAATGTCTCATCCAAAACCTGATTAGTTTAAACTTTAGTTATTCTAATTAATTTACCTTTTAATGGACTTATCTTGGGCTTTGGGTTGTTAGGTAGTCTCTCTGTTATAGATATCTCTGAATGGAAGGAAAATTAAAAATGTTCACTAATGCTACTGATGCCAGTGACATAGCAGTAACCCGCTCTATTGTTTGTGTTCAACACACACGTTTAACATTTATGTGTGCGTTTACCCTGTGTGAAAAAGTTACAGTCACCGAGCATCATTTTGCAAATATGTGGACATTGTGCTGTGCCAAGTGTATCCACATTTAATGAGCACAATATTAAAACCAAGGTCCAGAGCCAAGTTCAGCCCATTATGCATGAACTACTGGGATAACTGAAAACATCTTTGATACTTTGCCCAACATGCACTGAAATGTCTCCATTACCTTTTATAATCACACTCACAAATGTAAACAAAGTCATGTCTAATCATGTGATTATGTGCATGCACATATAGTACATGTGAGGTAAGAGACTGATCTGTAGAAATATTCTAAATGAACCCATTTAATGAACATATAATAATTATATCAAATGTCTTACTTAAAAATGGGTCTTACCGTCTCAATATTACAATTACTAAAACACATGTCATAACTTACATTAAGCTGGCAGACACTCAAACTGCACATGTGTTGAAACCGATAACACTCACTCTGTTTTATGGCTCAACAGTCATGACTTCCTGGCAGTTAAACTCTTGGAGGTCTCTTTGAGCTGGTGTCACTCCTCAGTGCATCGCTGACGGAGGATGTGAACAGTATTAATAGATCACAGCCAGCAGGAGAATCCCCCAGACGTCAGGCATTGTAGCGAAGTGTAGACCCTCATCCACTTTGTATGCAAAGCTGTCGTCTTTTTGCTTACAAATGGAATGTTTTTTTGCAGCAACATTGTCATGAGACAAGTATATGCGTGCTATGTATGTGTGTGTGTGTGTGTGTG